CCGCGTTAGCGGAGTGGTTAGCATTGCGTACTGCCATTCAGAAGTCCCGGGTTCAGCTCCTGGCATGACTAATAATAAAAAGTTATAGAAAATTAATTTAAATAAAAAGTTAAGTTAAATTTTCGGCCATACCTCGTCAGGGAATTTCAAAATCTCCGAGGGTTTTTCTGACATGAAATAAAGCTTCTCATAAAAAACCATCAGCCGTCCCGCGGTGGCTTAGTATAAACTGTAGGTCCCTCTATTTGTTGGAAAAACATTAAGACGCAAAACCACAAATTGGAGGAGTAGAAGTGCCACTTATATATGTATATAAACCGCATGGGTGCATACTTGTAGTTTCAAGGCTATACTCTTTTTCTGTTCTTGCTTCTCCTTTACGCACTCATTGCGGCATTCGTGCAAGAAGTGGTAAGTCCTTATAGATACTTTGGCCATGGCTAAGAGAAAGTGAACTTTAAAGGAGCCATTAAGACCTATTCGGTTTATAGGTTATAGTTTTTTGGATCGCGTACTCACCCTAGCTAAGGTCCGCATCAGTTCGTTTATCTCCAAGCTGGAGATACGTTGTTATGTCATTTTTTACTGTGGCCAACGATGTCAATATTACCTATTACACACTCCAGCCAACTTGGGCGGAGCTGAAGGTTGTGTTCAAAAACTGACTGACTGAAAAGTAAATTTTGCAAGGACCGCATACTGTCCTGTCTTACGGAACAAAGGCTTGAAATTAGGATTTTTCAAACAAAAAAAAAAAAAAAAATACGACGAGAGAAACGAGACCTCTGCTGTGTTGCCTAGTTCGTTAGCTAGTTCCTTTGGCAGTCCTGCGGTGCCTGCAGGTGGATGCAGAGAATAGGGAAGACCTCTACTTTGCTTGAAAGATCACGGAACTGACTTCACTTTACGCCCAACAACTAAAATACAAAAACAACTTGGGCGCCAATGGTGACTTAGTTATAAGCAGTGTCTTTTCCAATTAAAAAGAAAAAGGAGACTTTTAAATATTATGCGGATCTTTTCATATGACTTTTCTTATAAGACTGGAAACTTCGATTTTAGATTTCAATTCGGACTCTGCGTCTACTTTATTCATTGCTTTACTTATCTTAATGTAATATACATACATATTTAAAATGTAATTGTTGACATCAACTTAATAGTTAAAATTGCTCACCTCAGAGCGCACACCCAACTGACATAGGATTTTTAAATATATTATATATACATATACATACTTGCATACAGACATACATATGTACGTGTATGTACATTTCTATGTATCCCCATCAATCTTCACACAAATTGAGTTATTCAGAATGGCATTGTTCAGCGTCAATTAGCATTGGCAACAACAACATTTTAAGGAACCACACAATAGAAACAAATATAGGTATTTACATACATACCTTTATATTATACGAGTATGTACATGAACACAACTTGCTCACTCCCCGACAAAAATACATATTGCCGCAATTTGTCAAAATGACAGCTATAAATCGATCATAAAATACTAGAATGACATTAAAACCGCGCACCAAGTGACGCTGACAGTTCAGGTCGCTCCATATTGGGTGTGAAGAAAACCCATGTTACAACCACTGGCATTGGCAGCAAGGGTAGAGCGTTTGCGCGGCGATATTGAAATTTATTGTCAATTTAGGCAAACCGTCAAATGACTGTCAAGTGCAGCCTAACAGCTGGACGTGCGGACGTGAGAACGTACCGATGGGAGCACTTGCTTTGGCATAGTTCGCAACAACGTTGCAACAACAGACTCAGCAGTGGGCGCAGCAGGCGCGCACAGCAAGCGTAGCAGCTCAACAGCGGGCGTTGCAGCGATGGTAGATTAATATGTACGAGTAAGCAACATGTCAATCGCAGACACTTAGCATGATGAATAGACACATGGCAACCACAAAAACAAGTGCAACCAAACAGCAGGCAGGCAGCGAGTGCAAAAGGTGCGCTCGCCAATATATCAATTATGCATAACGAACTAAATAATATTCAAATTTTCGCCATTTGCAAATCCAGCAACACCAGCCTGCTGCTACACTTGGCCATGAGGTGCGCTGTTGGGGTTTCTCAAGTGGTTTGTCCGCCTCGCCTTCGAGTTTAGAAGCAACAAAAAAAGGCAATTTGTAAAAAGCAGAAAGAGCTGGAGGTGTACGAGTGGTGTTAATTATAGGTACATTACCAGACAGCGATAGATGGGGGTGATTAATGAAGAGAGGTCATGATGTGGCGTAGTTAGGACGGCGGAGAAGTAACCTCCTGATACTACCACTGCTGCTACTACTAAACCTTCTACTACTACTTCTGCTACTGAACCGGCTACTACTAAACCTTCTACTACTACTTCTGCTACTGAATCGGCTACTACTACTATTACTGCCAAAACTACTACTACTACCACGACCACTACTACTATTAGTGCTACTTCTACTACTACTACACTACTAATACTGTTACTACTACTACTAATAATACTCCTACTATTACTATTATTACTACTACTACTGCTGTTATTACTACTACTACTATTATTATTACTACTACTACTATTGCTACTACTATTATTACTACTTCTACTACTACTATTACTACTACTATTATTACAACTAATACTATTACTACTATTACCACTACTTCTACTATTACTACTAATAGTACTATTACTAACTAATTTACTAATTTGGAAAAATAATTTTTCTAATTGCGGTCGCCCATTGGCAGGAAATGCCAAGCCCTTCTTTATGAAAATCCATCGGCTGCTCAGAGGCGGCCTTAGAATAACTGTAGGTTCCCCTGCATTTGTTTGAGAAACACGAAGAGGTACCTCTTGAATTGGATTAGGAGCTCGACCGAGAATCGTCAATTATTATATCTACATCAAGTCTCTACTCACTGCGTAAAAATTTACATCAAAACTACCCAAAAAGGACTTTTCTATATTTTATAATTACCCATATTTTTTCTCTCCAAACCCTAATACAATTAGCATACTCGCGTAAATCCATTAAAGCCGCCCACTCGCGCTTCACTAACCATATTCAGCACAAGGATTAACAAAATAGAAAAATACTTGAGAATTACGAAAATATTTGTGCCAAACTCTGATTGTGTGAACCACTTAACACCGCCACCATCGTGGCGACCACCGCCGTTACCGCCTTTTACGTAGCGCCTGTGGCAGCAACCTTGTTAGCCACTTTTTGAGTGGCAACTCAATGTGCTCAAGGCGTTTGGGCGTTGCTGGCGAGTGCCAATCCACATGGTAAGGCGATTTTTTTTTTAACTTGTTATAGTTTTCTCAAAATTTGTTAAAATTTAATTTTTTTGCCGTGAAAATTTTTGTAATTTTTTCAAAATTATTGTTATTATTTTTATGCGCGCTTGCACTTAATCCGCGTAAATTGATTGAGTGCGTTGATGATGCAATATTGAGACAGTTAGTTCCCGCTGTGAAAAAAAGTATTGATTGGCATTTATCATAATAGTAAAGTTGAACAAATTCACTGGTGCGTATAATATGATAGTGAATACAAAATAAACTAAAAAAAAATACTATTCATTCTATGCATCATGCAAAGCAAACGCAGCTATTTACGTGCGTGCAACTCTTAGCCACATCCACTTAATGTGAGCACAAATCGTTTACGCGGACGCAATTAGCTGTTGCGCATGCGCAAATACTGGCACAAACATACGAGTACATAAGTACAGTGCAAACAGCTTGCTTAGCATTTGTGCGAGCATCTATTAATATGCCGTCATTCATACATACATGCTGAAGTATGTATATTCATTCATTATAGCAATTTAATTAACGTAAATTTTTGTTTATTGAAAATGGTCAAGTGAGTTATTTCGTTGTATTATTTTTGCGGTCATTGAATTTGCCTGCAGCTGCGAGACATTTCTGCTGGTAGTTTGTGAAAAATTATCGAAATGTCATTGATTAGTTTTTCGCATATTTTTTCCAACAACACTTTTTTACGCATTTGATTTAGTCTTTTTCGGTGGCGCATTCCGGCTGCCAAACTTGCTAAAGCAGTTAGCTTTATCGTGTTGTTGTTGTCACAGTTACATTTGCATATATTCAAATATTCCACATTTTTATTATTGCTACTGGTACAAATACCAGCGCTGCTGTTACTATTTTTTTAATTTTTTCTATTGACTTTCCACAACATTGCGGTTATTTCACTTTACCTAGGCGGGTGTAAGTTCGTTCGTCAAACGTGAGGTAAGAAACAGACTGTACATCGGCAAGTGGATACTTTTCAGTTGGTTTAAATTTTTTTTTTATTGTTCAGAGGTCACCCAAAAAGTCGTAAATATCGCTGGAACATCTTGCGACCCTTGAGCATATTTTGCTCTTATATTGTTAAACATTGATCACCGATCAATAGTAAAGTTTCACAAAGTAGTAAAGTTTCAAGGAAACACGCCCATTTTGTAAATCACTAAAAGTTGTGGTTAGAGCAAAGTCCGTGAGGTTTAAATTCGGCCCTTAAAGGGACTAGCGAATCGAAAAAAAATTGTCTACACCGCTTTCATTTTCAACACCAACGCATAGTAAAGCTTCCCAATGATTGCGCAAAATATCTCTCCGCGTTGCTGGCGGCGCCATTAGCATCTCTACCACAGAAAAGTGGTAAATAAAAAACTACTTACCGTTAAAAAGTGCGTGTCAAAATTCAATTTACGCTAGAGACATGCAAATGTTAATTTCAAATAACACCAGCAACTTAATGTCGGGAGTTGCGCAACAAATGTAGATAAAAAATTTACCGAAAAAGTTGTTGCATTTACATAAAAATGCTTTTACAAAAGCTCTCAAGTGCAACAATGTAGTTTTTAAATATGTGCAATATATGTGGCAGCACTGGCAACAGTTATTTTTCATAACGGCACTTTCAAACTGTTTTTTTTTTTTAATTTTCAATATCTTGACATTTGAAGAAATTGATGCTAATTAGTAATTTGCAAAAAAAAAATGAAAAAAACTGCTGAACGAATAAGTTAACTGTTAAAATAATAGTTATATATATAGTTTCTATCAGTTGCAACATAAGTTTTAGTTTATAAGTTTTCTCTTAGTATTCCTTATGGGACCAAAACTAATCGCATTTTTTCTTTTCTTTTTAGTTATTCAGTTGGTGTTGGTGGATTGAGAAATTGAAATTCCCACGACTTAGAGAAACCACAATTATTGGTCCCCATGCAAAATACTGTTAAAATAACCCAACTTTTCCATTATGTGCTCCAGCATTTCATGCGTAAACTGACTACTGGGTAAGTCGTCACTTCAGTTTTCTTTATTATAACTAAAGATGGGTTAAATAACAAATTGCTTTAGAAGTGAAGAAATATTAAAATTCCACAAAATAATATTATATGTATGAGGTCTGCGCAAAAAGTATTGCAAATTTTCTATTTCTCAAAAAAGTGTTTTTATGCTCATGAAGTTTGTCCTCTTCACAGTGATCACCGCCAGATATTATGCCTTTTTGCTAGCGTTTTTTCAAATCCTCAAAGCACTGATCTTGTGCAGCTCTTTCTTCGATGCGACCCTCTTCAATCGTAGCGTAACGTCGTCATTATTTTTGACGACGAACCCGGCGTAGGGAGGTAAATGAGTCGTAAACGACTTTTGTAAAGAGGGAGATTCTTATTCGCATCCCAGATTCCAATTTATCACTAAACAAATGATAGAGTGGATGCCATACAACTGAGGCGTATTCCAAAAAACGTATGGTTCATTGAACTCTTAAGACGCGTTTTGTCATATTAACGCTAGGATTTATATTGTTTCGCAAAACATCACTAGAATAAACTGATTTAAAAAGCTCGACATAATCTGCGTGTATTGACTATTATAGGGAAGAGTAAACGTCCTATGTGACTGCCTTGAGGAACACCAGATGAAGTCCACTTGAGAAACGAAGAAGGAAACCAGAAATAATCGTGTTTAAAGTATAATAAAGAAAGAGAGACCTTATCACATGCTCTGCTGAAGTCGGTCCTTCTCAGTTCTGGGCACAGTGTTCAGGTTTGAGGAATACAGTAGCCATTACTGCATTATTTTTGTCTAAATAGTTCGAGTAAAAAACGAAGCACGTGAGAGTAGTGGCTTTATCATGATGCGCAAGCCCATTTTTGCCAAGAACTCATTATGCACGACACCTCAGCATTGGCGGAAAACATCAGGACAAGTTTAGAACAAACTTCGTAATGTGTTGTCAAAATATCCTTCAGGCCGAATTCGAACTAGCCAACAAATTTCGAAAAGAATCTGTTCAAAAATTAAAAGAAACTTTTTTAACACTAACTTTAAGATGAAAATCAGTTTTTCGTGTCACAAATAACTGCAATTTACAAAACATGTGGAAATAGAATAACTTCAAGAGCGAGCGAGTATTAATCTATTTAGATCGTGGGTTATTCGCTTAATGATCGTTTAAGCTGACAAAATACTCATTTCGATATCTAAAATCATTTATTACTATTCTATTTCGTGCCATTCAGAACAGACTTTAATCAAAGTAATATATATATACTTTATCGACTTTGCATCTTCTTAATTTGCGACCAGTTTAAGCCTCCTTTATAATCAACATAGTCATTATCATCGGCATATCATCAGGCAACCGCTCGCTGACAAACGATTTCCCAACATAATCAACCGTATCAGTCACCGCCAATTAGGTAATTTAATTTACAAACACAAGAAAGCATACATTAAATAACGAGACAATCAAGTTATAATTGAAGGCAGAAAGAGAAAAAAACCAACTGTAGCCTGGTATGAAATGTGATTTAAAAAATGCCTTCAATGCGCCATTCACACCTCCCATTTATTTGCGCCATTCAATTACAGTAATTAATAGATTTGCTCAGTATGCTTGGAGTGTGCGCAAGTGCAAGTGCTGCTTACTTAAATATGTGCCACAAAACGTGGCGCATGTCGTCGATCACTCATTAAATGTGGGGTATGTTGGGTATAATTACGTTGTAGTTGCAGCAATGTACATATGTGTGGTTTTTCATATCTCTCTTTTAACATTGTACGAATAATTATGGTTTTTACTGTGTAGCATGCAACTGATATGCTGTTTGATTGAATTCCACTAACAGCAAAACCAATTGAAATTGCTAAATGAACAGGTTGTGGGAAAAGGACCCACTTGTCGTTTGGTATATTTGTGATGATTGTTTTCGATTTTTTCGGTTTTGGTATTATGTAAAAACGTTGAATAATGCTAAAATTTTGAAATTTTTTTCATAGCTGTTGTTGTAGCGGTTCCTTTTCGCAGTCTTCAGGAGCAGTCTACGTTACTAACTTAACCTTATTTTAACCACTCAATTACATACAGTGATCTTCCTTCACTCGTTTACTTTATGCGAACTTTATCGTGAGATGATTTCGAGCTTATTGAACCATACTTCACTCTCTGCCTTTCACCATTATTATAAGAATCTGTAAAAAGGAATAGCAATCTAATCTAATATGCAGCACTGGCACATGTCTCTCTGTTTGACGTCACCCAACAAATGACAGCAATTTGTCACTGCAACACAGCAACAATAATGCACAAATTCAATTTCAATGCTAATCCATTCATACAGCCTTGGGTGGCCCATACCTCCCTGTACAGTAGATGGCAGCGAGTACGCCATTCTCATGCCAATTGGCGCTGCTATGCGGCTCTTCATTTCGTCCGTTTGGCGGACAGCTTTGCTGGCAAAGCACCCGGGTCTTGCATGCAAATGAAGCTAAACGATTTGTGTAGTGTCATCGTCAATTTGTGTTGATTGCGGTGATTAATCTTTTGTCATGGCATTGGCGTAAGTGCGGCAGGCAAGTGTGAAAATCCTTTTGTAATGCATAGATAACTGCTATCACTCGTAAATCTAAATAGAATAAAATAGGAAAAATGTAAACGATTAATTGGCTGTTAGAATATTTACTCAGAAGGTGGAATGGTGGCATACTCATTCGATATGCAGACCATCGGTTTGGCTGATAATATGAAGAACTTTATCGAAAAATATGTATGGAAGTATTTTGTGAGTTTTGGCTCAGTTTCGCCACCCACATTGCTGCAACGGACTTGTTGGTTTCAAGTTAAAATTTTTCATTGAATAGTAAAAATCCAACGAGCCACTAATAGGTAATCTATTGAGTTTTAATAATATAAGCAATCAGTAATAAAAAAATAAAACACTCAGCAAAAATTTGTCCGCAATGAAACTAGAGTTTATATGTCTCATATCTTGTATGAGAAATGCTACTAATATTTACGAGTATGTAGTAGAAGTCTTAATACCGTTCATGACCATATGAAATTTAGGGTATTCCTTTTTATCACTATTGACGCTTTGTAACCGCTGAAGCGATTTTCGGCGAGCTCCTTCGCCAACTTGTGGTGTCCGTCTGCATGATTTTACGTATAAGTGTTAAATGATAATTTTTATAACTGAAAAAGTAGTTAGAGTTCCACGCTTTGACGGATTTTTGACTGAACAAATCAAAAGTATGGGAGCTACATATGTGGCATGGTCCTCCGATTACGATGATTTTAGGTGACCATGTTTATATGTAAATGGGCGTGTAAACACCAAACTTTTAACTTTAGCTAAGAGAGTTTTGAGCAAAGCCTCATATCTGCAAAGATAAGATTTCGATAATTTCCAGCTCTGGCCTGCAAATGATAGTTTAAATGTACCAGTGCATCTGTGCAACGCCGATCAGTATAAATTTGGATCAGTCTGCCTCTTCTCCTTCTGCCACTTACACACTTTAGGCCAAAGTTAATACAAACCATGTCATGTACAAGAAAGGTATAAAAAATACAAAAGAATGTAAACATTTTTTTCAGTCTTTGCCAATTCTTTTACATAAAGATCTTAGCAGAACCTCCGAAAGTTTATCCAACTTGGAGAAAGATGCTGCACGAAAACAAAAAAAAAAAAAAAAATCCGAAGGCAAGTCAGTACGCTTGTCTTTCAGCTGTCCAGTGCACATAAGCAACCAGTTCTCCACTGTGTTGGCGTCGGTGGCTGTGGCGACGCGGTTAGAAAATAAATGTCAACTTGTCACCGCCAAAGTCATCAATCAAAATGGCAATAATTGAGTAACTGAGAAAATACCACGGCAGTGGAGGCAAGGCGGTCATCAACCAGGGAGTTGTTGAAGAGCGTAGTATTTATATGTACATATTTGCACAGCGCCTTGGCCGCGAGTCGAGTGTGAAGTATGCAATGTTTGTTGCAGATACTTATGCTGCATATACATACTTGTATATAAAAACACATAGTGTAGGTACATATGTGTTACAAGCGAAGAAGTAATGTATCTTGCAACTTATACATAGTAAATTCAAAGCCAAACGAAAAAAAAACAAAATGGAAAATAAAAACTTCTTGATTAAGTATTGGGCATGGAAATGCCTACCGCAGCATAAAGTGAAGAAAAAAAATATGTTTATGTCAACAAAGAAGTATTGATGGAAAAGAATTAAAAAGGCGAAAGCCGGAATGTGCAACAGCTATAAAGTGGCTTTGGCTTAGTTGTTGTTCTTGGCCCATTGTTCTTGACCGTCTGGTGCGCGCGCAAGTGTTTTGTCAGCGTTGACAAATAATGCAGCACGTTCGCCACATCGGACAGCAATACAGCACCGCCGCCGCCGCCGCCGCCGCATATACGGGTATGTAGGTGCGACAAAAAACGTAGCAATGCGTCACGCGTACACGATGTTTCGCATAACAATGCGTGCTCAAGCATTTTTGCTGTATGGTTTCTGTCTTATAGCAATGTTTTGATGTGTTTTCTTTTGCCTTTTGGTTTGGCTACATCGTTGCGAGATCTTATTAAATTGTTCCGTGCGCGTGTATACACGCCAACAGCGATATTGTGCAATAAAAATGACAAATTTCAATGTTGCGACATTGTCTGGCACTGGAAGGGGCGCTATCGGTTTACGCTATACGCGTTTGGTTTATTGGTTTTTATTATTTTAGGTGATTTGGTTTTGTTGTAGCTTTTCTATGAAGTCTTTATGTTACTAATTCGAATTTTTTGTGTGGCAATTAAGTGTCTGCAGTCGGTTTACAGTTCTCATTAAGCATTTCCAGGTTCAAACTAACAAACTTAATAATTATACTTTAAAAATATATATTCCCCGTTTGTTTTTACTTTATATTCTTAAATTTTAATATTTTTTTCATTTGTTGGTAAAGGGTTTTCTTTTTTGACGTACCGATTTTGTTACTTCCTTCACAGTAGGTCTTTT